TTTAGAATAAGTTAGATTTTGGGGTGCAATACTCTTACATTATTTCACACTATATAATTTTAGAATAAGTTAGATTTTGGGGTGCAATACTCTTACATTATTTAACACTATAATTTTAGAATAAGTTAGATTTTTGGGGCAATACTCTTACATTATTTAACACTATATAATTTTAGAATAAGTTAGATTTTTGGGGGCAATACTCTTACATTATTTAACACAATATTATTTTAGAATAAGTTAGATTTTGGGGTGCAATGCTCGTACATTATTTAATTAAACTAAAATAAGTTTCACAAGCAGAAATTATTAAGAAGCAAGCAGCTCTCAAGTTAGAATTAAAAATATATACTTTTGCTATGGAGTCGGAAAAAATGTCAAAGTGAGAAAAAATCTATATGGCGCCTGTAAGATTTGTTAACCACTTAAAGAAGCCTTAAAAACACAGGCTTTGAAGATAAAGAAGAGAAAACGATTAGAATATGACATTACAGAAACAATGAAATATTTTTGTTTTGATCCAGATTTTCTCGCTCTCTTTCTCTCAATATTGTACAAATTACAAATCTTGTTTATGCCAGAAGCACCCGGACTGAACGGATCAGCCAACGGATGATAAATTTAGGTTGTCCGCTTATCACAAAGCCCAATGATTACGAAGTGGAAAGCTAACGCCTCCATCGTCGTCACATCATCTGTTTAGGGAGAAAATCGCCTGCAGAAGTGCGGCCTTCATACTGTTTTTCACGTTCCAGTAGGCGGATGTTAATCGTTACCAACTTTAGTTAACTGTATTTCTACCCTAGTTATTTCTTGCTGTTTAGTTCCCTATTTAGGAGTCTAGAGCGAGTTACTAAAATGAATTTATACAATATAAATGCTCCTTCCTTATGACTTTTCTAAACCCGTTTTAATTAGGTATGGCGCTGATGGTGGTTAAACTTCAAATATACACACATTTTCATTGAAAAGAAAAGCTGCGGGCCAGGCATGGGCTAGTGGTTAGCGTGTTCGGACTGTGAGGGTCTATGGTTCACGACTCATTACGTAAGAAACGCACTCTGAACTATTCGATCATGCAAGAGTAAACCAAGAGTTTGCGATAGGCGCTTCTGTTGACTAGCTGCATTCGTTTGTATAGCTTTGCATAAAAAAGTCTAAAACAGAAACAGTTATTGACATGATATCGCCCTAAGGTGGATAAGATCTGTGTTCTAAATCTAACTGCAAAATTAGATAGCCTCAAAGCTAGGATATAAATAGTATGGTTAACAGAATGCACACTAAGGTGAAGAGAGTGTAAAAAGAATCTTCACGAAGATGAATAGGATGTGAATAGTATCTGAGGGTCGTGAGACCGAATCTCAGTCACACCAAACATACTCGCCCTTTCGGTCATGGGGGCGTTATAATGTGACGGTCAATTCTACTGTTCGTTGGTAAAAGATGTTACGTATTAGAATTTCAAATAGCCTGGAATTGAGTTAACTGATGAATTTAAATTTAGTAGTTAAATTGTACTTTGGATTTAGTAGTTAAATAAATGCCGATATATAGCG